AAATTCTGCCTCCTTTGTCTTCTGTTCACCCCCCAAAAGCCAGCCCGCAAAGGTTCAGAATAACAAAGCGTCAAGAAAAATATCCCAAGTACACTTCAGACCACCAGGCAGAACACAAAACCCTTAAATAACGATATTAAAATAACCATAGCAGCACCTGATCCCAAAGCTGTTCATAAAAGCAGACATCCATTAGAGGGAAAGCAAAAGTGAACAATAAATACGTTTTTAGGTTCTTAAAGCCAAGCAAAGGTTCTAGTCCATGTGGTTCTGGATAAAGAGCCAGATTACAGACTGCAGCTAACCGATACAGTAAGATTGTTGGTCCAGCCAGCACTGCATTGATATCAAAATCAGTACAGATTTTAGTTCCAGCCATTTAATATTTCCAGAAATGGCAGAATTTGAACTTGGGTTTCTCTGGTTACATGGGTTTCAAACTTAGCTTTTTTGTAGCGTGGCATGTTGTGCAAACTCAGCCTCTTCGCCTAATTCAAGGTAACGTGCAGATCCAGAAAATGGTTTAATCCGGGTCAAGTTATAACGTACACACAGCCACGCTGCTCCAAAGCCTGCGTTCCCCCCTCTCAGCCATCCATCTTGGGGTGCAGCAAAGTACCTGAAACTGGATCAAGAGATTATTTTACTTGGAATCAATGAGAATTGAACCCAGGTTCTCTTGCATGCAAGTCAGGTGACCCTTCCTTCTAGAAAGCTGCGTTCTTGCAACTTGGGGGCCTGCATTCCTCACCAAATGCTCCACATTTATGTGGATTTGCAGGTTCTTAATGCAGCATTTTCGATGGGGTGGAAAGGATGCCTTGGTTGCATCCACCCTCTGTACCAGCGTCCCCTTACCTGGGATTTCTGAGATGTGTTGGACAGCAGTTCCCGTCATCCCCAGCCAGTGTGACCACTGACCCTGATGGCTAGGGAGCCGTGGGAATTGCAGTGCACCAGGGTGGGGTAAATTGGCTATACAGATGTTACTGAGAATCTCGAGTGTGACTCCCTTTGCTGCTGGGGGCGGGGATGTCTCATTATCAAGGCCTCTCATTTCAGATTGCCGGCTATTAAAATGCATTTTGCTTCCTGTGGAAAGAGATCAGAACTCGCGCCGCATAATTTAACCTTCAGCTGTCTCGTTTGCGGGCAGTGCAGTTATGCGAAGGTTTGGTGCGAGGAGGATGCAAGGCAGGAGCAGACGAGTAACCATCCAGATGTTCTATTCCTCCTTCCGTCAGCCTTAGTGAGCAGGGCATGTGATGACGGATGATGGCAGTTGAAGTCCATTTGCAGTATTTGGGAGCTCACATCTGCCTCCTGCCCAGAGGACATGAGTGGTGCACAGTAACTAC